TATAGTAAAATGTTAGTAAAATTACAAATAAAAAACAATATGTTATATGGATAAAGCTAGATAAAACTAGATGATAAATAGATAAAACATATTGTGGTTGTCAAAAAATAGTACTTACACCCCACATTAATATACATGCACTTTATTTATTAAACAAGGCCTACAGAAATAATAATTACCAGTGTAACTTTACAGCAGTTTTACAAAAATGCAACACATTTTAGTTTCCTTATTCTGGGGGTTTCATACACATTATATGTTAATAAACATGAAAATAAGAACAAAAACACTGTTATTAGGGTACTATGTTCCTTCCCTATGGATCTCAAGCAAGGTTAAACTGAATAATAGCGCCATCGTCTGCACAAATATCTAATGACAACCATATGAAACGCCTTGCTACTCCGCCACTGTTCTCGGCACTGTAAACTTGACCGTTGCCATGACAACACTGAGCTACAGCTGAACTGAGATCAGCAGGTGTGGACGCTCGTCACGGATGAGGTCATGGGAAGTTCCACTGCCCGCCCCGTCCAGCGGATTGGCCAGCGTCACTAGTGCGTACAGCTCGCCCATTGGTGTACGTTGCTGTCAATCACGCCTCGCCTCTCATCGGACGATCCTCCTCGGTAGGACGATCGGTTTGTCTATGGCACCGGAGGCAACCTGACAGTCCGTTTTAAAATCCGATCACAATAGTACATCAGCACGGATGTATTAATTTATATGCCCATTTAGATTTAAACTTAAGGAGTGGCATACCATCGTGAATGGAGTATCTCATCCCACAAAAGGTCCGTTTTTCACCCGTAACGTACCATCGCCTGCGAGGAAATCTGACCCTCCAGCTGCAGGAGGAGTGCTGTCGAGCCGAACATTTTTCTCCACCGTCATCCGATCTGACACCATATCCAATGGTTACAGCCTAACAGCCGTCACACCGCACGACACGGAGTTTTTCGACAGGTTGGTAGTCGTTTAATCGTGTCCCGAGCTGTTAAACGCTTGATATCTATTTCAGACCATCTCGATCCTTTCTCTTTCATCTGTTGTCTCTCAACCGTTGAGCCACCGCTCGCTGTTCGTTGTACATTAACGAATATAAAACAAAAGAACTGTCCGATCGCTTTTTTCTAAAGTTGATCGATGTTGTGTCGACGTTATCCATAGATCAGCTAGGCTTCTGTATTAGTTGAGCTGGTACTGAATGCGCTGTGTTTTGTTTTGAGATGGTGATCGTGTATCTGCGGCCTCTGCTGTGGCCTTCAGCGCCTGTCATTAAACTGCACTGTTTTGACGAACTCGCACCACTTTTCTTATATGACAGTTTAGATGTTTAAAATGTCAAAACTCTCGAGGAATTATAATAAGGAAGTGGATGCTGTAGTTCATGTTGACGTACGCATAAAGTAATGGTACTTTAATACTAGCGGTGTCGTAATACGTTATAACGTTTGTATAATTTGCCGTTGTAATTTGAGTCAGACTTTCGCGTGAAATGAAACTTTCCTTGTATTCTCGTTAAATATGGCCTGTGATTTTGACCGGTCTCCGTGTTTGTGTGCTGTTTTAGCAGATAAAGACAAACACGCGAGCCGGTATTTGTGTGCATCTGCGCTCGAGCGTGACGTAGGAGATTATTATTGTTGCAGTATTCATCAATAAATGTACTTAAATAATAACAAATGCAGGTTCAACAAAAATGGCACGTTTGCACAAACCATAAAAGGACATATTCCTCACGAATACTTGAGCAAATCTAACTTGATTAATTCTTGCACATTTGCTCACAAACGCCTTATACTTATTTGTGGAGTTGCCTTTGTGAATCTGTGTACATTTATTGATATCGGGACAATTAAAACCCCTGTTGTGATATCACCGTGTTCGTGTTTTGTTTTGTTTTTTACATCAAATGTGCAAGTTCACGATTTTGGAAACCTAGAATACTACAGAAAAACAAACATTCATAAATAGGAAGTAGATTAACAAATATATAAAACGAAGTTTCACAAAAAATTGCACACAAATGAAAGGATTTATTCCTCACAAATCCGTCCAGCCTGACCACGTACAAGGTACTGAATTTGCAGTCAGTACCACCATTACTGTAGATGTAATTCAAATTTTGCCTTTTTTCTCTCTCTCTTTACAGGACACACGATTTTAAGTCACAAAATGGCAGTTTTCAGCTCACAGGTGCTTCTTGCCGTAACAAGATCAAGGTGAGGCCATCATCCAAGTTACTGGTGCAAAAATGAACAATTTTATCCTATTCCAAGTGTACTATTATTTTAAAATATTATTATTCAATAAAATACTAACATTATTTTATAATTATATTTTGCTGTTCCCCAAATATCAATACATCATGGAGGTTTTAAAAAACCTTGTTAAAGCACATTCATTCTTGCATTCAAAATATATTTAAGTTGTAAAGTTGGCTAAATTGTCCTTTTAGTGATGGTTAATACTTTTCTAGGCTGATTAATTTAATGTAATTCCTGATGTAAACAATCCCTTTCTTGTATCCTTTTGCACGTTATTATAAAGTCACTGGGTTTAAAGGCTTTATGTGATTGTGATAGGATTGAAAGATTAGATTTAAGACAGGCTAATAAGCGATTTTATCGCACTAATCTCATGTTAACATTAACATGAGATATAGAGATATATATATATATATATATATATATATATATATATATATATATACACAGAGTTGGAACTGATGCCATTGGT